TATATATATATATATATATATATATATATATATATATATATATATATATATATATATATATATATATATATATATATATATATATATATATATATATATATATATATATATATGAGTCCGTGACAATGTGCTCGATTTTTAATAACCAACAGCTATACAGATTCCAAAAGTTATACGCTCTCTAATAACCGTTAGATTTAAAAAAAATTATACGTTCAGTTCGATAATATTATTCGGTTATTTCTCCATTTCTGAACTCTCGAGCGTGAGCTTGACTCTATCATGTTCTTCATCCTAATCCAGTTTATTTATATAGACCATCTTTGAGCGGAATAGATTCTCCTAGAATCCAAACGTGTTTTATAACAATTTTTTAAATGAATTAATTGATAATAATAATAATAATAATAATAATAATAATAATAATAATGTATTTTTTAAGGTACATTTAATTCTTTTAATACATAAAAAAAATTAATCTGCTAATTTACTGACTGAAATTATAAAATAAAGTACAAAAATAATTATTAGAAATTCAACAACTCTAGTAGAAAAGTTTTGAATGGAAGAGATATTAATTACACCTATTCTATTAGAATTCCAAAGAGAGGGGCATTTTTGCAAAGCGAAATAGACGGAGGGCATCCCGTGTCAACGTCAAACATCAGATAAAATACACGAAAGCATGTCGAACTCGGGAAGAAACTAAGCACAGGCACAACCGAGAAACGACACCGACTATTTCGACTAACATTCCAGTAGTAATAACGTGCATACATATTTTCAAAATCATACCTATAAGTTATTACGAGACAGTCACATTACAACGACCCAATTAAACAAAATACCCAAAACAACCCTATACTCGACCTCGACCCCGACCCCGAATTCTAGGTTTCCTCGCCCACACTCGGAAATTTCATCCCTTACCCTAAATTTCTCATACTCTCTATTAATCAAAACCCTATAACCCTACTTTTTGAGATAGACAACAAATCAAAAAGTAAAACTATAACTCTACACTACTTGCATTGGCCTTCCCTAATGGCTTTTAAAACCCTAAACCCTAAAAACCCGTCCCTCTCGAGAGCTACGTAATACTAATAATCAATAACACGATCCATCTAATTCAGTAGATAATACACAAAATATTTAATAAAACAATATATATATAAATCGAACCGTTTCAAGGAACTGGATTCTTTGAACCGAAAAATAAAAAGACCAAACCGAAACCAAAACCCGAACCAGCTACATAAATCTGGTCACCTCCATCGACCAGGAGGGAAAAAAAAAACTAATTAATTATAGAAATATTATACAGTGATGGGATTGTGTGATTAGTGAACATGATTAATGGAGAAAATCCCATGAAATTTGTTAAGAGTATACGACGACGTACCGTGGAAAATTAATTTTTTAATTTAATTTAATTTTTTTTTTTTTTTTTCTATTCTTCTTCCGGGATGTGTAAGGCGGAGGACGGTACGATCATATCTTGCAGAAGGCCATGGTCTTGGAAGGATCCCTCAATACGACGTCGTTCTTCTCCAAAACTATGAAACGCCGCATCAAATCGAACATCCACTGGCGGCGCCGGAGTGTACGTATATTGCGGCTGTGGGAAAACAAGAGACGGTTGCGGTGAGGCGAAGGCGGCGGCGGCGGCGGCGACTGATAAAGCTCCACGTGGCATGATTGGGCTTTGATGGATGTGTTGGCCTTCGTAAGTGGTAACGACGACAGAAGGGTCATCGGAGGAACGTTCGACACGTTTCTTAACGCCGCAGCCGGCGGTGGTGCAACGGTAATAACTTCTAGGATAAGGGCTGTTTTTAACGGCTTTTTGACCGTATTTCCGCCATCTATAGCCGTCGTCGAGATGATCCACTTCGCTTTTAGTCATGAACGCAAATCTCGGCTCTCTTACCCTTTTTTGATTCTTTTTTTTCGCTTTTAATCTAAAAAATTAATTAAATTAAATCAAAACCCACTTCAAAAAAAAATCAAATAACAACGAAATTATAATAAATTATTAACGAACTTACTGCTTATTGAAAGGGGATTTCTCCCGGAGATCGCCGTCGTCGGCGTCAAAAACCTTTTCATTGGAGGAGCAAGAGACGGAGGAGTTGGGAGTAGGAGGGGTGTTGAGAACTTCGGATGACTCCGGCACGACGGAGGACGGCGGAGGAAGAGTGGTAGTGGGTGGCGCAGCCGACAAGAGATCGAACAAGGAAGGGGTGAAATCTTGTCCGGCCAATAAATCCATTAATGGGATGTCGAATAACAATCCGGAATTTCCCATCAAATTCTGATCGCCTTTTCTCAATTCTTCTTCCTTCTTCACCTCCTCCATACAAATAAATATATATAAATATATAATTTAAATAATAATAGTAATTTTTTTTTTTTTGGGGGTGTGAAAAGAAAATGGAGAGAGAGAGAGAGGAGCGGCGCTGGCCGTGGAGGGTGGTGGTGGGAGAGTGTGAAAGAGGCGGGGGAAGGGGGGGTTTAAGAGAGAGAAAGGGAGGAAGACCGGCAGATGTCGGTTGTTATGTGTACGGAATATGTCGACTGAGGGACGGTGTTTAGCATTAAATGCAGGAGGACCACCGGTGGGGCTCTGCTTCACTTTCTTCCATACGCGGATTTTTTGACCGATTCACCCCTTCCATCCCTGGGCCGCCTTTACACGTGGCATTCGGTATAGATAATACTCTCATCCACACCTGATTACTCCCCCTCCTCTTTCCTTTCTTCCATTCTCTTACGTCTCCGTTTAAATTACCAATTTACCCTACTCGGTTTATTTTCAAAATTAATATTGAAAATAAATTTAAACCATTTTCCCCCGATTTTCGTGCTGCGCAAGTATGTCGCGTTGTTCACTAATTAATTTTTTTTTGGTTAAAACAATATTTTGCATCTCATTTTTTATTTTAAATCAATCTTAAATTTATGTCATTTATAATAAAATTTTATAGAAAAAATAGATAAATAATTTTTTTAAATTAATACAAACTAAAAAATACTATGATTAAATTTTTTTAATAATTCTTCCATCTCTTTTTTTTATAATATATATATATATATATGTATGTATATGTGTGTATGTATAGCATTTATATGACGTGTAAAAGCCATGTAATTTTGCGTGTTTACCGAACTATGTGGAAAAAATTATATATCAACTAAATATAAAAGTCAAATAATTTATGATTACTTAATAGACTAACTACTTGTCTTTATTAGTGAATCAAAACCTTCCAATCACATTTTAAATTGGATGCAAGTTAAAATTTTAATGTACTTATGATCATATACGGATAAACGGATAAGATATTCGAATAAAAGTGATTTTGACGATAAGAAATTATAGTGAATAAAAGTTAAGAAAAAAAATTTAAAGGTCGTGTTAGGTTAGATAGCATTTTGGGTTGGACTGGGTTAATTTTTTTGAAACCAAACTCGTTTGGTTTGGATTTCAAGTTCATTGGCGTTCATTGGCCAAAGGTTCATGTCGACCGAATCCGAACTAGTCCAATATCAAGAAGAAACGATATGTCAATGTCTCACACCATGCAAACGCATACGTAATTCCCTGACTCGTCCTTGCCATTGTCGCCAGATGCAAATAAGACGCCTCTTGTAGATGCAGCTCCTCGTCCTTACCATCACCATCGCCATCTCTGATAATCCAACCACGCAACCAGTGTACACCTGTGAGATCTCACATTGGTTGGAGAGGGGAACGAACATTTTTTACAAGGGTGTGGAAACCTCTCCCTAGTAGATGCGCTTACGATACGTAATGAGCTAAAACAAACAATATCTAGTAGGGATGTGTTTGGTCTGTTACAACAACCTAATCATTCGGTGACTTCCAACAAGATTATCTATGAAACATGTGAAAATGACTTAATTTGTCTTTATGCATGTTTCAATTAATCACGCTCTTAACTTGCCTCTTATCTTTAATAGTCATAACGCGTGTTTGCCTAAACACATTGATTATATATAAATTTAATAATTTTACGTATTATAACTAATTAAACAATAAAATTTCAAATTAGCACAAATTTTTATTAATTCTTTACTATAATTTATTATATAATCCATAAATTTAAAATTTTAAAAATGTAAGAATTTATTAAATATTTTTTTAAATACTAAATAAATATGAAATTGGGAGTGTGACTAAAAATGTAATTTAACCAAAATTATATTTCCATTTTGTAATAATCATTTGGCTTTCCTGCCGACCGTTTAAGTGGGTACGTGAAGCGCATAGATCCTGGCCACAATACATGGCCGCCGTCCCCACCGCCCAATGTTTAATTCAACGAAAATAAGCCAATAAATGGCTTACACGTGGACCCACTGATTCGATTTTTGTACATCATGTGACCCTGTCTCCAACGTGTCCGATCGGACGGCTCTCCTAACGTAAACGTGCTCTTTTAAATGTGGTTTTTGATTCTCTATGGTTGCTTCCACCGCAACCCAACTACACCCTCACTCTTTTTTATTGTCCTTTTTGACCTATTGCTGAGCTGTCTCACAGTTTTATACCCTTATTAGAAATGCTTAAAAAATTCTCTGGGAGGCCTATCGTTCTCACTGTCACACCTGTCCAATGTCTGGGTCTGATACTATTATTAGCGGATATTGTCAGCCAATTACATATCTAGTCAGTTCACAGTTTTCATACCTTTGTAAGTAATGCTTAAAAATCCTCGCTAGCACGCCACCCAATGTCTGGGTCTGATACCATTTATAACCATCCAAACCCACCGCTAACAGATATTGTCCACTTTTGCTCGTTACATATCCCCGTCAGCCTCACAGTTTTAAAACGCATCTGTTAAGGAAATATTTACACGCCCTTTTAGTAAATATTTCGTTTCCCTCTCCAACCGATGTGGGAACTCGCTGCTGGATTAGCCGTCGGGCTTACTTCTATTGGACTTGGAGTTGGTCAAGGTACTGCTGCAGGCCAAGCTGTAGAAGGGATCGCGAGACAACCCGAGGCAAAGGGAATTAAAAAAAAAACATAACCCGACAACCCAACACAAAAATAGAGAGTTGAGTTGAGTTGAGCTGAGCTGTGAACTTTATTCACTTAGATTGAGTCACCAACTCAACCAACTCGAAACCTGAGTTAGTCGAAAAGATTTATTCAAACGTAACCGACCCACGTACATCCTTACCAATAGATACACTCGAATAACAATGAATTATTTATTCGATAATCTCGAGCAACACAAAATTAAATTATTTGAAAATGAAAAAAAATAAAATAAAATAATTGAGAATGAAATTGCAGGACGCAAGGAGGGTCAGTATTGTCAGCCAAAAACCCATTTGCACCATAAAGAAGAAATACATTATTGTCTGCTTCTTCCGATCCACAGGATTCTGTTTGGAATTTCAGCTATTATATCCAAATATTTCTTTTTTTTTTTTTAATTCCTTTAATTATTTTAATTTTAATAATTCAAAATTCTCTAATTGGTTGACTTTGAATGGGTCTTATTTATTTATTTATTATTTTTATTAATTAATAACTTTTTTAAAAAGGTACCATATTTCATGCCCCGATATTCAAAGATGCAAAGTTTGAAAGCAAAGAGTCACGTCCTGACCAAAAATAAACGCACAGTAATTTTTTTAAATCGTCTTTATTCCTTTTCACATTAAATCAATCCCACTCGCGAAGTATTGATCGTGAGATCCACGCGCTATATATTTGCCCATTGAAATCCACGTGTTTTCCACGACTTAAAGTGGAGCGTGGTTCTTAAGGAGAAAAAAAAGGACAGGTCACCGACTAGATCGAGAGGAAAAAGGCTAATTTAAAACATTTGCAAATTAATCATTTGATTAAAAAATAATTTTAAATTTTAAAAATTAATTTTCATTAATGTTTTTTAAAAAAATACTTTTTGAAATTAAAAAAATGGTATAATTTTATATGAAAAATACGACACAAAGCACAACTTTTAAAAAATTAAAGAATAATATTGTAATATTTTTAGTATTTTTTTAAACAAATAACAAAATTATAATTTCTAAAATTTTAAAATTTATAAAATTCTAAAACTAAAAATTAATTTTAGTAAATAATTTAGCAAATAAAAAATAAAAAAAAACAGCGTGGGCCCCGGCCAATTTTTTTATTTTTATTTTTTATAATATAAAATAATTTAGTAAGAGAGAAGGGTATGGGAAAAGGCAGTCCAAGATGTCGTGGTATGAGGGATCAAGACAGCCTAAAACGCAGCGGTCAAAGGTAAGAAGTCAAATGTTTGACTAATAGTGATTTGTTGAGCTACTACTCAGTCAACTCAAAAGCCAGCTCCAAAAAGGGACCTCTTTCGCCCCCACTGCCCTTCCAAACCACGTGTTATTCCCCTCTAACCCTCCCCATCCCTTCACGTTCTCGATCTGATGAGTCAGCAGCTAAGTTTTCTACACGTTACAACTCATACTATGAATTGATATTTGGTCCCGTTCAATTTTATCCCTTTTCTATCGTTAAATTGATTGTCGCCTAACTTTTTTATATTCCTACCTACTAAATTGCTATGTTAGAGATAAGTTTAATGTATTTATACGTTTTTAATATTTTTCTTTTCGGGTTGATCTTTTTGTTGTATTTTTAATAATTTACTTCACGTGTCTATATATATTTTCAATGTGATATGATCTAAAAGGAATAAATTTTAATATTATTCGAGATATTTAACCGTTACAAGATATATATATATATAAAAGTAACGGTTAAAGTACTTTTTTTATTTGTAATGTTCATAAACGAAAATCAACATTTTACAAATTTCGAGACTAAAATAGAATACACTGAATATGTGAGATCCATCATTGGTTGGGAAGGAGAAGAGGAGATTCTTTATAAGGGCGTGGAAACCTCTCTTTAGCAGACGCGTTTTATAAACTTTGAGCGAAAATCTGAAAGGGAAAGCCCAAAGAGAACAATATCTGCTAGTGGTGGACTTGAGCCATTACAAATGGCATTAGAGCCAGACATCGGGTGTTGTGCCAGTAAGGAGGTTGAACCTTGAAAGGGAGAGGACACGAGGTGCCAGCAAGAACTCTGGGCCCCGAACAGGGGTGGATAGAGGGGTCCCACATCGACTGGAGAAAGGAACGAATACTAGCAAGGATGTTGGGACCCAAAAGGAGTGGATCGAGAACAACGAGACATTGTTTATAAGAGAGTGAAAACCTCACTCTAGCAGACGCGTTGATGAACTTGGGCCGTTACAGAACTGTTCCTTAGTCAACTTTTGGTTGGGGCGTGAAAGTTTCGATAAGATTAGTATTAAATATTAAGAAAGTGACTTTAAATACAAACAAAAGTGC